TCTCTCTCTCTCTCTCTCTCTCTCTCTCAAAAAATAAAAAAAAAAAAAGAAAACATGAACATATAACCACTATGGGTTTTTATTCTACACAGATCTTAGATTTTTAGATAATCTCTATTCTGCTTGCTTGAGAATATGTTATGGAAATAAAGGACATAGAAATTGCCAAGATTTGGTATCTTGAAATTTTACTTTTATGCATAATCAAAATATAGTAAAACAACTATTTAGCCTAACAGAAAAAAAAAAAACTTTGGATTATTTATTCTTAATGACAAGTGGAAAGATTGCAACAATATTCCTCAACTATTTATCAGATTCCTCAGCTATTTATCAGACCATCTGAGATTTTTATACAAAATAAGGACGCTGCTCGTATTTTAAACTAATAATTATTACACTTCGGCAGCATATATACTAAATTGATAGTTTGTTGTGCTTTTCCTGTTGTCACAATCGTTTAACCTGAGACCCGATTAAGTAAAACCAACTGTACTTGAAAATGAAGCAGAACTCTACCAGCACTCACCACAGCAAAGAACCCTGTAATTTAAATGGTTTTTATCTCCCCGGACCAGCAGAGGGAGACTAAGACATCTGGCCTGGTCGCGCAGAGCTTCTGTAAAATTGGGGAGGGGGAGTGGAGGCTGTATTTAAATGTCCTGCTGTCAATCAAAGGGCACTTCCTACAATCACAGTCACCATATCAGCTATGACTAGCGAGCGAGCTCTCGCCAAGACACAACAGCCAACGGTGCCCGGGAATCGCGCTTCACCTAAAGGTGACCGCAGGCTTGGCCACAACACCCAAATAAGGACTTTGAGAGCCCAACCCCAACTAGTTTCTTTGTTTAAATGCCTGCGAATCCCTCCCACGCCGGAGTCAAGAGGCTGTGGCGCCGCCCTTTATTAGACTCACACTTTGATTACAAAACACACGAGTCGGCGGCCTGGCCGCGGAGGCGGCCCGAGTTCTCACAAACGTCAAACCCGAGGCGCGGCGGCGACGGTGACGGCGGAATCAGAGGACAACGTCGGCCACCGCCACCAGCGCCGCCGCCAACCCCAAAGTTGCCTGTCGTCGGCCCCCGGCCACCGCCGCGGGCCGTCCCAGTGTTGTCGGCCCCCGGGCGCTGGCGACCGTACTCTTTGTAAAGTTTGCTCTGCGTGGCGACGGCGACGCGGGGGTCGGGAGATGCTGTCCCCTCGGCCCCGTCGCCCACTCCTCCCTCGGCCGCGCGCCGGCCGCAGGGGGCGTGTTGCGAGGTGGCGGAGCCGAGCCCACCTGCCCCGCGGCCCGGCCCGCGGGGGTCCCCCGCAGCGCCTCATCTGTTGCTCCGCCGACTCGCCGAGCCCCGCCACCGCCTGACGCGGTCCCTCCCGCCGCCGGGGTCCCGCCGCCCCGCCGGCCGAGAAGTTTGAGAAAGACGGGAAGGGGGCGCGACGGGGGCGCCGGGGGCGACGCGCGGCTGCCCGG